GCCCGTTAGCAAACTGTGTCACAGTGCATGGTGACATATGCTATGAAAATTGAGTGTAGGGTCAGGCACTGTGGCTCATGCCTGTAATCCCAGCATTTTGGAAGGCTGGGGCCACCAGATCACCTGAGGTCAGGAGCTCGAGACCAGCCTGCCCAACATGGTGAAATCTCGTCTCTACTAAAAACACAAAAATTAGCTGGGTATGGTGGTACATGCCTGTAATTCCAGCTACTCAGAAGCTGAAGCAGGAGAACTGCTTGAACCCGGGAGGCAGAGGTTGCAGTGAGCTGAGATGGTGCCATTGCTCTCCAGCCTGGCGACAGAGCAAGACTCTGTCAAAAAGAAAGCAAGCGAGCAAAAGACACGGTGTTTCATTTGCAAGAGAAGAAAGAGGGGTTTTCAATTATTTGGAGGGCTTTTGCTTAGAGGATGGCATTTGTATTTGTATAAGTTCCCAAAGGAACAACAAAGGTAAGAGCTCAGAGAAGCATAAAGAATAATTCTGTCGGGTGTGGTGGCTCACACCTGTAATCCCAGCAAAATGCTCACACCTGTAATCCCAAAATGGGAGGCCAAGGCAGGCAGCTCAAAAGGTCAGCCTGACCAACACAGTGAAACCCCGTCTCTAAAATATTAAAAATACAAAAAAAATTATCTGAGCATGGTGGCACGGGCCTGTAGTCCCAGCTACTCAGGAGGCTGAGGGAGGAGAATTTCTTGAACCCAGGAGGTGGAATTTGCAGTGAGCTGACATCGAGCCACTGCACTCCAGTCTGGGCGACAGAGCAAGACTCCATCTCAAAAAGAAAAAAAAAAAAAGAATAATTCTCCAGTCATTGATTGTCCATACATGGAATATGAGGACCTCATAGCAGAGGGAGTTCTCAGTCCCTGGACCTGTTCAAGCACAGGCCAGCGCATCGTTTGGCTGGGAAGGTACAGCAATTGTACCAGCATCTGATGGGGGCTGAACTAGATGACAAGATTTCTTTCAAACTGGAGCTTTTATGGCTTATGATAATGAGTGAAACCTAGACAAGAATTTGCAAAGTGGCAGAGGGGGGCTCCTACAGAGAGTGATGCTAAACAGCTGAAGAAAGAAGCCAAAATAGGAGGCCAGAGAAAGAGGTCCAGCGAGGCTGGCAGCAATGGTGAATGCTCTGGCATCTTGGGAAAGCATCTGGCACTGATGAGGACAAAATGACTAATAGACACGTCTACTGCTGCCGCTTCCAGCCAGGCAGACCCCAAAGTGGTGCAATTAACAGTGCGTCGTGGGGCTCCTGCTCCTGGTGGTGATGTGTTATGCAAGCCGGACTCTCCAACAAATGCCAGCAAACCAGCGATCTGGCTGGAGTTCTTCACTGGGAAAAAACTCTGGCAACAACAAAGATGATGAGATGAGATTTAGTCCAGACGTGTGACGTGTCATTAGATCTTCCTAATCGCCAGAGAGCAAATCCTTACTTTGTGCTAAGAACTTAATGGACATGAGGCCGGGTGTGGTGGCTCACGCCTGTAACCCCAGCACTTTGGGAGGCGGAGGCGGGTGGATCACGAGGTCAAGAGATCAAGACCATCCTGGTCAACAAGGTAAAACCCCATCTCTACTAAAAATACAAAAATTAGCTGGACATGGTGGCACGTGCCTGTAATCCCAGCTACTCAGGAGGCTGAGGCAGGAGAATTGCTTGAACCCAGGAGGTGGAATTTGCAGTGAGCTGAGATCGCGCCATTGCACTCCAGCCTTGGTAACAAGAGCAAAACTCCGTCTCAAAAACAAACAAACAAACAGACAAACAAAAAATACAAGAAACTAGCTGGGCATGGTGGTGCACACCTGAAGTCCCAGCTACTTGGTAGGCTGAGGTGGGAGGATCACTTGAGCTTGGGAGTAAAATAAATAAATAAATAAATAAATAAATAAATAAATAAATAGATAGACATATGAGAAAGATCCCACTATCCCCACTTGACTGATCAAAGTGTAAGGCTCAGAGCAGGCAACGGACATCCCTAACCCATCTAGAGATTCAGCAACAGAGTTAGAGGACTCAGGGCTCCAAATCCCATCTGACCATTAACCCAAACCACCTTTATTTACCGCCCCCCACGCCAGCAAACACTTTCTGTTAAACACCTCCTCCACTAAAGCACTATGATTTCCACCAGAGACTCTTTCATGCACGGCCCTCCTCACTCTGCAAGAACTCACCATAGGTTCAGTGAATGAATGAATTTGGAGTGGTCAACAAGGGGTGCACCACTGCAATTTTTAAAACATTGAAGGAGAGAAATGCCACAAAACAAAATGCACGTGGAAAAATCACTACCTTATTTCAAAATATTTACAGCTTCACATTTCCAGGCCACCCAAAGTGTGGCGGTCAGTGGTGAGGAGGCAGCGATCAGAGGCTGTTGGGGTGGGGCATACGCCAGGATCCTCGCCCCACCCTGGGAGGCACAGGGCATTCCAGTCTTCTCTCCCAGTTACATCCTCCACGGAAACCACAAAGATGACGCGCTCAACTTTTCTTAAAGCAGAAAAAAGTATGCTTGTGTGTGTAAGAGGAGGAGAGGGGGAGTGGACGAGGGATGGAGGGGAGTGCAATAATTCCTGCAGTCCTAAAACACGCCAGTTGGTAGTTTCTGGTATTCCAGACACTTCCTAATGCCAGACAAATGCCCCAAGCCTCGGCATGTCTGGCTTAGAGATCTATTCAACTGATAGCAGCCGCCTCTTCTGGGGAGAGCAGATCTTTCAGAAAGCGCTGGCTGCACTGCTGATCAAACCCGACATTGTTCTCAGAAAGGAGGAAGAATGGAAAGGTTTGTTTCAAAGTCACAACTTTATTATTTTTTAAGAGGCACCCAAGTTGTTTTAACAGGTTGCTACAAAACTTGGGTTTCCTGAGTGGAGGCTGTTTTGCACAGTGTATCTACTGTATAAAAATCCAGGCAGGGAGGGATCAGAAAGTTAGAGTCATTACAAAAAAAAAAAAAAAAAGCCCCAGGCACTTGATGCCTGGAAATGATGTCAGACGCAGCCACTCTTCTGTTAGAACTACAACCAAACAATGCGCAGGCGATCCACAGCGGCTGCCCTGCAAATGTCAGCGCCAGCTCAGTCTAAAGAGCTTGAAACCTACCAAGTCGAAGGACTGTGCTGTACCTCTCTCGCCCACATTTTCCCCAAGCGCTCTCAGGAACCTGGCAACAGGTAACGTGGCAACCTTTAACTTATAAAAGGGCAAGTGGCACAATTTCAGGGAACGAATGGACTTTTTTCTTTTAAGCCAGCCTCTCCCCCACCACTCCCACACCCCACTCCCTCCCAACCAAAAGTCTGTAAAAAAAACAAAGTATTGCCGCGGGCAGTCCTACTCTCGAGTGTCCCCTTGTGGCCAAACCTGGAACATCACTTCCGTACTTTGCAAGCTGCGGCTCAGCTACGAGGGTAAGTCGGGCACTGGAAGGGGTGGGTGGAGGCCTTTGCTGGACTTGCCTTCCGAAAAGCTCAGCAGTGGAAGTCATGGCCCAGAATGGCTTAGTTTTTCACCTTATCACCTTAACAAAAACTTCCCCTTGGCTGCAGGGTTAAATCTCTGGGTTGGGGCTGGGGATTTTCGTTTTGGTTTTTTTGTGTGTGTGTGTCTCGCTCTGTCGCCAGACTGGAGTGCAGTGGCACGATCCCTGCTCCCTGCAACCTCCACCTCCCAGGGTCAAGCGGTTCTCCTGCCTCAGCCTCCCGAGTAGCTGGGACTACAGGCGCGTGCCATCACGGCCGGCTAATTTTTTGTATTTTTAGTAGCGACAGGGTTTCACCATGTTAGCCAAGCTGGTCTCGATCTCCTGACCTCATGATCCACCAGCCGCGGCCTCCCAAAGTGCTGGGATTACAGGCGTGAGCCACCGCGCCCGGTCTCGTTGTTGTTTTAAAGCAGCAGCCAAGGCCATGTTTTTTAAGGTGGTGAGTTACACAGAGCAAGAACTGCTGTAGCCTTTTCCACGCGATCTCTTTCACCACATCCCAGTCACAGCCAACGGTAGGGTGGACGGCAGTGAGGATAAACAGCCCGGAAACTGAGGATTCCTGCAGGGCGGGACTGGCATTTTCCATTTTTATCTGAAGTTGTCCTTTGAATGCAGACACCTTTCTCTCAGGCCAGACGCACTTCTAATTTGTATTGCTGGCTTCCAGTTAGCCTATTTCGAGGATTACTTGGGATTTCCAGACTGCAGGCCCAGCTACCCAGAGAATGTGCCTCAAAGCCTCACCTCAACGCTTTTATCTCTGTGTGGGGGAAACACCCATGAAAATGCCAACAGCAGTATTCCTAACCTGCCTTCTTCCTTTTGGGAACTGCTTTCTGCGGCTCTCTCTTGTTACAGAGGAATGATTGCAGCTGGTTGCTCTGGCCACGCAGGAGGGGAGGGGCAGGAGGAGAGGGCGTCCATTCTGTCTCCCTCTGGCTATGTGAACTGGAACCTAGGAAGGGGGTTCAGATCAAAGTAACTGCTCCCTTCAGAAAGTTCCATTCATTAACTAAATTAGAGGAAATCAAATGGTGTTTGGAAGAAGGTCATTTCAGAAGGCCCAGGGCCAGAGGCTGAGGTCTAAAACTTCTCATCCGGACTTTTATTGAAGTTTGGCAATAAGTTAAATAAGAAGTTGAAGGCTACCATATGTAATTCCAGTTGTTGCCTGAAATCAGTCATTTCAAGGGAATATCTATTTTTTTTGAGACAGAGTTTTGCTCTTGTTGCCTAGGCTGGAGTGCAGTGGCGCCATCTCGGCTCACCACAACCTCTGCCTCCCAAGTTCAAGCATTTCTCCTGCCTCAGCCTCTCAAGTAGCTGGGATTACAGGCATGCGCCACCATGTCCAACTAATTTTGTATTTTTAGTAGAGACAGAGTTTCTCCATGTTTGTAGGCTGGTCTTGAACTCCTGACCTCAGGTGATCCGCCCGCCTTGGCCTCCCAAAGTGCTGGGATTACAGGCGTCAACCACCATGCCTGGCCTCAAGAAAATATCTTGAAAGATCACAGACTGGGAAACAGGCATGGAAAAAAAAAAGTAAGTAGACATTTGGCTAGTATGTGCCTAGACTGCTTAACACTAAAGATGAAAGACTGAAGGCTCTGAGTAAGAATCATTTGACCAGTAGCTCAGGTGAGTCATAACTTGCACAGAACTAGGGCACATGTGTTGAAGTCAGGAAGTTGAGAGCGTCAGGCTTACTAATTTGCAAGGACGGGGTGTTGCTTCCAGTAGGGAATGTGATCAAGATTTCACGGCTCATTTTTCTCAGCTTTTCCAACAGGTGCAATCAAGTCATCCATGTACACAAGTGACTGCCCTGGCAGTTACATCTGTTAGGATTAAATTTCCATTTGTTCCATTACTTTATATGAAGTGATTTCTACTGTTGAGTCAGACAGATCACTTCCTCTTAGACCTAGGGACTTTTTTTCAACATTTTTAACAATGTGTGTGTTTTTCAAAATGTGTCCCAGCCAGGTCTGCAGGTCTTCCTGGGTTGAATGGACTGTTTACAGAAGGGGAAGATTCAGGGCCCAAGGTCAGGGTTACAGAATTATATAAGGTTTCCTGTTTGGGCAGCTGGTCTAGCAACACCTCAGGTTGGGGCAAACCGGCTCTTGTTGAGAGATAGCATGCCCAGGAGGCTAGGGTGGGCAGACCAGTGCCAGGAGCAGGGAGGAACATTTTTCTTTCTTTCTTTTCTTTTTTTTTTTTTTTTTGAGACCAAGTTTTGCTGTGTCACCCAGGCTGGAGTGCAGTGGTGCAATCTCGGCTCACTGCAGCCTCCGCCTCCTGGGTTCAAGCGATTCTCCTGCCTCAGACTCTTGAGTAGCCGGGATTACAGACACCCGCCACCACGCCTGGCTAGGTTTTGTATTTTTAGTAGAGATGGGGTTTCACTATTTGGCCAGGCTGGTCTTAACTCCTGACCTCATGATCCTCCCGCTTTGGCCTCACAAAGTGCTGAGATTGCCGGCTTGAGCCACCGAGCCCGGCCTGACAATTTTCTTTTTAATCTTTCATCATGCAGCTTTCATTTCTTATTGACTGTCACTCTTCAGCAGTATGTTCCTATATTCTCTGTTAGGAGAACTTTTTTTTTTCTGGCCAGACTGAGAGAAAGGAATGAGTTAAGGGATGGAAGAATGACAAGGTCAGGCACTGTTGTCTGTCTGATCCACAGATGTAACCACAGCACACGCGTGGCTCACAGTACTAGTGTGGTAAATGCTTGTTACACAAAGTTATGAACAGGGATGAGAAGGGACTTCTGGAGAAAAAAAGGGACTAACAATCAGGAAAGGGAGGTCATTGGGGCAGGAGTAAAGTGAACACCTCAGCAAAGCCACTTGCTGTGACCTCTGATGGTGCAGTGTCATGTCTTGTCACCAGGGCCCCCTCGTGTGTGGGGCTGGCTAAGTGCTGTTATGATTGGCCAGTGTTTGACAGGGACCTAGCAGGCCAAATCCTAATCTACCGGTCTCTGACATCAGCTAGTCCCTTGGGTCATGCACCTGATGTCTCCCAGTGTCCCCGCTTGCCCTCACCCATGGGCCCTGGGCAAAAGGACAGTGGGAGGCGCCCGTGACACTCACTGCCCTTTTCCTGTGCAGCTGTTTTTCTTCTTAGTACTTTTCACTCCTTGTTACTCTTTTCTTTGTTGTTGTTCTTGCTCAGCCCACACAGAACTAGGAACCTTGTTATTCTTTGACTGATGTTTCTGTGCTCTGTCTGCTTGCACACAGATGGATATCTGAGGAGCCAGGGAACTTTCTTTACCTCCTGGTATCATTCCATGAGAATTACTAGCACCTGCACAATGGGGCCTTAGAGAGAGGAATAAAAGGAAAAATCTGGAATGGAACCACATGACGCAACAGCCTACTCGGACTCCCTGCCCAGCTGCTGTATGTCTGGGAAACAGAATAAATAGCACTTGAGCATCCCTGACTTTGGGGCTGTGGAGTAGCTGGTTGTATCACGGTATTCGTCTCGCTTCAGAAAGTGGGGTGGCAGGGCTGGGCATGGTGGCTCACGCCTGTAATCCCAGCACTTTGGAAAGCTGAGGCGGGCGGATCATGAGGTCAGAGATCCAGACCATCCTGGCCAACATGGTAAGAGACAAGAGGAAAGAAACAAAGCATTTATTCCACCTAAAGAAAAACCAGTTGCAAAACCTAAGAAAGCTTCTACTGAAACTAAAATTGATGTGGCCAGCATCAAGGAAAAGGTTAAGAAAGCAAAGAATAAGAAACTGGGAGCTCTTACTGCTGAAGAAATTGCACTTAAGATGGAAGCAGATGAAAAGAAAAGAAAAGAAAAAAAAAGTAACGCACACAAAACTCCTTGACTGGAACTATCTCCTTTTGTAAAGGATTTAGAGATACCAGGCATTAATTAGTTGCCTTATTTGTGAGAAATTTTCTGAGTTTTGTTCCTAGAACAGTGTTCTTTGTAAGTTATTATATTTTCTTTGAAAATTTTATACTATAACATGGTATGTATGTCTTTGTATACATTATGACCATTGTGATTATCCATTAAATGATCAAATATAATGATGTCTCAAAGATAAAAAAAAAAAAAGAAACCCCATCTCTACTAAAAATACAAAAAACAGCTGAGCATGGTGGCATGTGCCTGTAGTCCCAGCTACTCATGAGGCTGAGGCAGGAGAATCATTTGAACCCGGGAGGTGGAGGTTGCGGTGACCCAAGATCTTGCCACTGCACTCCAGCCTGGTGACAGAGCAAGACTCCTCCGTCTCAAAAAAAAAAAAGTGGGGTGCCTGTGCAGAGCGAGTGGCCTGTGTATGAACCAGGGTCCATCCCATCCAGTGAATCTGGTCAGACTGAGTCCTCAGCGAGACTTCGGTGTAGACCCATCAGTAGCCTCAGTTCACTGGCAGGCTCGCTGGACTTTGGAGAGAAGGCTAACCCTCCATCAGGGCAGCCCACTGCTGCGGCTGCCCGAGGAACCGAGGGCCTGGAGCCAGGACTTGACCTGGCTCAGGAGCTTTTGCACAAGGCTGGCTCAGACCTCCAAACCTGGGAAACAGGATGCATAGGGAGGTGAAGTAGAAAGAAAATACATCCACCATTCCTTCCTGTTGGTGTCAGCATGATGAGGAATAATCACCTGGATCTGGAAAGCTGGCGTGTGGGAGGCCGCAGGCCGCCCTGGTCTGTGCAGTTAGGCACTTCATTATTCATCCTTCTCCTTTCCTCCGCCCTCCCCAAATCCCCATTTTCAAAGGGAAACCAGAAAAAACTATCTGGGTTAACCTGCGTAATACTGTTTACATCAGCCCACTTGGCCCAAAAAGGATACCAACTCCTTATGGATGCTCAGATAACAGGATTAGTGCTTTAAAAAATTATGCCTCATTCATTATCCAACTTTGTCACTGATAGAGAAGGACACAGATTCAGAGAAGAACTTATGCCTGTGACCTCAGGGCTCTTTCCCCACCATTACTCTAAGTGTCCCTTAAAGACGGCATTTATGCCGGCGCGTTGGCTCAAGCCTGTAATCCCAGCACTTTGGGAGGCCGAGGCGGGTGGATCACGAGGTCAAGAGATCGAGACCATCCTGGTCAACATGGTGAAACCCCGTCTCTACTAAAGGTGCAAAAAAGTAGCTGGGCATGGTGGCGCGTGCCTGTAATCCCAGCTACACCGGAGGCTGAGGCAGGAGAATTGCCTGAACCCAGGAGGCGGAGGTTGCGGTGAGCCGAGATCGCGCCATTGCACTCCAGCCTGGGTAACAAGAGCGAAACTCCGTCTCAAAAAAAAAAAAAAAAAAAAGACGGCATTTATTTGTTTATTTTTTATGTATGTATTTGAGACAGAGTCTCGATCTGTCGTCCAGGCAGTTGTTCAATGATGTGATCTTGTATCACTGCAACCTTCTGCCTCAGCCTCCTGAGTAGCTGAGACTGCAGGCGTGCGCCACCACACCTGGCTAATGTTTGTCTTTTTGGTAGAGATGGGGTTTCACCATGTTGGCCAGGCTGGTCTCAAACTCCTGACCTCAAGTGACCCACCCACCTCGGCCTCCCAAAGTTCTGAGATTACAGGTAGGAGCCACCATGCCTGGCAAAGACTGCATTTAAAATACTATTCTGCTGGGTTTAGAATTTAATGATAAAGCGGCTGGCTTTATTAAACATTCAACGAATGAAGAGGAGGATGGGGGAGTAAAGTGGTGATTTTAGTACTGACCTCACAGGTTGTTTTTATTTAGTTTTGGCAAATGACAAGTACCTAACAGAAAGGTAGTGTGTATATGCATACATATATATATATATATATATATATATATATTTTTTTTTTTTTTTTTTTTTTTTTTTGAGAAGGAGTCTCGCTCTGTCGCCGGGCTGGAGTGTAGTGGTGTGATCTCAGCTCACTGCAACCTCTGCCTCAGCCTCCTGAGTAGCAGGAATTACAAGCACATGCCACCACACCCAGCTAAATTTTTTATTTTTAATAGAGATGGGGTTTCACCATGTGGGCTAAGATGGTGAAACCCCGTTCTACTAAAAGGGAACCTCGTGATCCGCCTGCCTCAGCCTCCCAAAATGCTGGGATTACAGGCATGAGCCACCGCGCCCAGTCAATTTTTTTATTTTTTTAAGAGACAGGGTCTCGCTCTGTTGGCTGGGCTAGAGTGCAGTGTTGTGATAACGGCTCATTGCATCCTCTAACTCCTGGGCTCCATCGATCCTCCCCCACTTCAGCCTCTGGAGTAGCTGGAGCCACAAGTGCACATCACCACAGCCAGCTAATTTTTAAAAAACATTTTGGAAAGACAGGGTCTCACCGTGTTGCCCAGGCTCAAGGTCAGATTTCTTAATATTTCTGGTATTGTCTCCTTTCAGAGAACTTTGAGTTCTGGGTGTTCATTAGTTTATCACCATGCGTGTGATTCAGAAACAGTCTTTGTTTTTGTTTTTCGAGATAGAGTTACTCTCTTGTTGCCCAGGCTGGAGTGCAATGGCATGCACAGTCCCAGCTCACTGCAACCTCCGCCTCCTGGTTCAAGCAATTCTCCTGCCTCAGCCTCCTGAGTAGCTGGGATTACAGGTGTGCCCACCACCCCCAGCTAATTCTTGTATTATTAGGAGAGGTGGGGTTTCACCATGTTGGCCAGGTTGGTCTCAAACTCCTGACCTCAGGTGATCCACCTGCCTCAGCCTCCTAAACTGCTGGGATTACAGGCCTGAGCCAACGTGTGTGGCCAGAAACATTCTTTTTATTTGTTTTTATTATAATGGTAATAAGTGCCCTAGTAGGGGATTTGAACTCTCTCTTTCCACAGTGTGTAATGATGTCTATATACATTACAGAATGGAGTAATCCTTTTTTTTTTTTTTTTTTTTTTTTTTTTTGCGTCTCACCCTCTTCTACCTCAGCCTCTGGATTAGTTGGGATTACAGGTGCCCGCCACCACACCTGGCTAATTTTTGTATTTAGTAGAGACGGGGCTTCACTACATTGGCTGGGCTGGTCTCAACTCCAGCAGGTGATCTGCCCTCTGACTCCCAAAATGCTTGGATTATTTATTTTGCTGTCTGTGAAGTCACACTGTAGCCTGAGGGTAGTGGATAGGAAAGGAGAGGAGTGGGGAAGAGAGTAGTGGAAAAGATAAGCTAAAACACACACAAACACACACACACACACATACACCCTTGCACACAATCTTGCAAATGTTAAGTGTTTACCTGTAAGACCACATCATATTACACCATTCTGGGCCAGAACCAGTGGCTCAGACCTGCACTTCAGGAGGCTGAGGCGGGTGGATTGCTTGAGGTCAGGAGTTCGAGACCAGCCTGATCAACATGGTGAAACCCCCATCTCTAATAAAAATACAAAAAATAGCCAGGCATGGTGCTGGGGGCCTGTAATCCCACCTACTTGGGAACCTGAGGCAGAAGAATCACTTGAACCCGGTGGCAGAGGTTGCAGTGAGCAGAGATCGCGCCATTGCACTCCAGCCTGAGCTGCGGTGTGAGACTCCGTCTCTAAATAAATGAATAAAACAAACCTACATTCTTTACTCTGGCCCACTATAATTTGCACTGACAGGAGGGCAGCTCCATGCTAGGTCCAAGCTGGGTGCCATGCTGATTTGACGCTGCTCAGGACACTGGTCTAAAAGTTTGTCTGCAAGCACTCACTCTTCATTCATTTCAGCTTTGTCTAGTACACTTTGGAAACCATTTCCCACTCAGCAGATAACTGAGACAGTGCACGGAACATGGTTGAATTAAAGAATAAACGGGTTGGTAGACAAATAAGTTTATGAAATGCAGAAATAAATAGATCGAGCACTAGATATGTTTATTATCTCAGACAAGCATGTCACTGCCTCCTGGTGTGGATTTGTATTTCAGTTTTCAAAGGAACCGTAGAAGGTACAAGCAATATGATTTGATTTTGGAGGAATTTCCAGCATCCTAAGTCAAAGATGCTATTAAATATCAATTCTGAAAAAGCAACTATAAATACTGCAGATCGACTAAGGCAGAGAATGCGAATATCTTCTGCGTGGTAGTGTGCTGGCCTGTGATTGAGACTTCACGTGTGTTATGGGCGCATGGGGGCAGCTGGTTGCTCATAATTAAGATTGCTGTTACCGCTGCCTGTGTTCCGAAGAGAACGCAAGAGGACAGAGCTAAGGTACAGAAATGCGGAAAAACTTGCAGAAACTAGAGCTGGTCTTTGGATTGAAATTAATTACCAATAAAGGGCTGGGAAATGGATGTAGGGGAGGGAAGCATTTTGATGGCCCCTGCTCTGAGGTTCAGCCCATTTGCAGTTGCTGATAACCTTGTCAGGTCACCAGATAAAGGCAAGTCTTGTCGCCCTCAGGCACCTGGCTGTGAGGTAATAAAACGGTTGCCTTATCATCTAAAGGTGGAGTTAGTCAAACCTCAGCCCAGGGTA